GTGGCTTGGTGTCAAGTGTTTCAAGCCATGCCGGGTCTCTTAACGCGAAGCCGTCGCGTTGCGACAACCGAGATTATAAGAGCTCAATAACGGTTGAACCGATTAAGTTCTAAGTAGGCTTAATCGATAGCTTGGGTTCGATTTGTGTAATGAAAGTGTTTTTATTTTTTTTCTACGTGCCCTACAAGCGGAGATATTTGCATGCGAAGTCCGAAATGTAGGAATTTCAGATTAAGAAACGTCGTCATTATCATTGTCGTCGCCCAGTTGCAAAGTGGGGGAAGTGTACTTTTACAATTTCTGACGCAAGAGGCGCTAGATCTTGCAGCCACGCACGTTTCGATCGATATATATCGAGCAATATATAGAACAGCGACCTCTATGGTGTAACACTTACTATCAAGTCGATAATATAGTAATCTCAATATCACATTTATAATTTAATTCGAACTGTGATTGGTAGCGCATCGCCATTTGTATCGATAGTTGCGCTTATATTGCAATCGATACAAATCGCCCATATATCTTCTTTCTGTCCTTAATCTAATCTAATTCGATAACATTATTCATGGTTCATTATTAGTGTGTCAAAATGGAGGATATGGATGTAAGTATTATTTACCATGCACATAATTTTATTAGTTTGATTTATTTTTATCATTTTAATTTATAGTTAGACGATTTGATATTGGAATTCTCTGACGATGGTGATGAAATGAGTGGAGAAAAAATCCCGAAAGCCGGAAAGTCGATTCCTTCTATAAGTGCATCTGCATGTTTACAGGCATCCGTAAATCTCAACAGCGTAAGTAATAACATACTAGTTTTCTGATTTAGATCGGAGAGGGTATTATAAGCATAAATGTATTGATGATAAAAGTAGATTGCAAAAGAGTACTGTAACCTGTTTTCCGAACGCCTCTCTCCCTCTCTCTCTCTCTCTCTCTCTCTCTTCTCCCCCTCTTATTTGCTCTTTTTCTCCAAAAATTATTTGCTCACTCCCTCACTTATTCATCAATTAATTAAATAATTTACTCGTTTTTATTTTTTTTACTCACACTTATTTATTTTACTTTACTGTAATTTTTATACATTACATACATATTCACACACATACTTATGCTTGTAATATTATAATTTTTCTTTATAGTACCCTGACCGTGTCGTACCCAAACCGACGTCTGTTACTTCTACCATTCATGTTGCTTCAACAGGGCCACCTCCGTTACAAGACGTTCCTCCATTATATTCTACTGTAACATTTCAGAATCAAAAGCCATCAGTTGTTTCTGTAAGTTAGCATTTCTTTATTACAATTTATATTTTTTATTTGTTACGAGCTTGCTCTTGTATATT